TAGTCTTTTTCCTGATCCCTTATTTAGGTTTTCTAAATTCCTTCTATGAGTGAGACCATCCGGTATTTTTCTTTTTCTTTCTGGGTTATTTCACTGAGCATGATCCCTTCCAGCTCCATCCATGTTGCTGCAAATTACATGAGTTTAACTTTTTTGATAGCTGAGTAATATTCCATCGTGTATATGTACCACGTCTTCTTGATCCAGTCATATATTCCTTTAAATTAGAGTTTTGGTATTCTTTGGTGAGATGCCTAGGAGTGAAATTGCTGCATCATATTGTATAATAGATCTATTTTTTTAATATTTTGGAATATCTCCACACTGGTTTTCATCATCTACATTCCCACCAACAGTATTACAAGGATTCCTTTTCTCCACACCCTTGTCAACACTTGTTTCTGGCCTTTTTGATTTGGTCCATTTTCATGGAGGATGCCGGCCACCATTTTAATCCTTTGCATAAAATGAAACCAAGGGTAGGATAAGAACTATCTAGCAGCTTTCCTTTTTCCATTTCTTTGCTTTGGGGTGATTTCAAAAAAGGAAGAATTTGGGCCTCCCCGGTGGCGCAGCGGTTGAGCGCTGGGTTGCAGGGCTGCGCGCGGCCTCTGCGGCGCCGGTTCGATCCCCGGCTGCTCCCCGGCCACCAGAGGAGGGTCCCGCATGGCGCGCAGACCTCTCCTGCCGCCCGCTGCTCCCCTCAGCGGTGTACTTCGGTCCTTCTGCCTGCTCTGCTCCCCGCTCTGGCTCTGGTGAATTCTCTCGCCCTCCCACGCTTCTGACTGTACCCAGTGCATGTATAAACAAACAAACCAGCAAACAAATAAATAAAGCATGCCTCTAAAAAAAAAAAAAAAAAAAAAGGAAGAATTTATTAATGTTACTACTGTTGCCTTAACACTTATAATGGTTGAATTTAAAATTCCTGTTTCCATGTGTAAAGCTAGATCTCACTCCCGCATATCTTTTTCTCTTACCTGGCTTTGTTTACTATATTTCCTTAGAACTATACTGATCCAAAATTCAACAGATGATGACTTTTTCTTTACTCCAACATCCTTTAACGGTGGAGCCAGTGTCAACTGGAGTATTGTGGTGAGTTGATAAATGTGTAAGAATGAGAGGACTAAGTTTTACTTTCTTAAAGTTACACTAGAATATGTTACTTCACTGTGAAATCCATTAAATGTGCCTGATGGCTGCTCTGACAAGGAAAAGATTGGATTGGAGGAGGATATGAATTTGGATGTCGACTCTTAGTTTTAATTTTTCTTTATCTCTTGGAGAGTAAGACATAAGATCATTACTATGAAATAGTCCTCACAACTCTTACAGAAATATTGTTCAGTTCATACAGCTGTGATTATAATCTAATCTTGATTAATTATGTAGAGAATATTTTCTTCAGAAACAAAAATGGTTAAAAGTAAATGCTGAATATAGTCTGTATCTTTAAAATTAAAGGCTTTAAAGATATTTTGGGAGATGGTACTAGAAAACTAAAAAACAATGAAATACCTGTATGACTTCAAGGTAATTTTATATGTTTTTTTTAGATTTTATTAATTAGAAGCTTTCATAATGACAACTTGCAGAAATATCTAAAATAAGATAGGGAAGGAATTAATGGATATTTTCTCTTCAGTTACCTTTTTATTGCACAAATATATTTTGCTTCATCTTTTGTTCTGATATCTGTTAGTACTAATCCCTCAAACCTATCTAGCAAGCCAATATGGAGAAAAAAGAATAAATTGGCTATTGGCAGTCACTTATATTAACTTTCTGAGAGATTGAATGTCTTTCTCTGCTTGCCTTCCCATGGCCACCTGTCAGAGCATAAATTTCCTTTTGCCATCTTGCTGAAAGTATCATTCTATCTTTTGACTGCTCCAGGGACCCTGAGGCTGTGAAAACAGAACTGTCCCCTGAGAGTTTTCAAGCCCTAACGAGTTCAGACCTTGTTGATGAGTCTTAATCATCTGGCCAGATGGGGCCATCAGATTTAGATGTCATTGTTTCAGAATTCATTCATCCTGCTGCCATTTTGTATCATTACTACTATTTTTTGCAACAAAGATAGTCTTTCATGGATGAAAACTCTTTTTTGTCCCTGTTATTTCTCATAGAAAGATTTTATCTCAAGAAATCCTTTTGTGAATCTTCTTTTATAGCTAGAGCACTCCTTTTATCCTCCTCCACCAAGATTTGCAAATTTCCCCCTTCTTTCTCATGCCCTTCAATTTTCCTATAACATTGCTTCTAGTGCTAACCAAATACTGCTCATCCTTTGAGGTTTTCCCTAGGCTGGAGATGGAAATGCAAATGCACAGGAGGCTGAGAGAAATCAGAGGGAGGGAGTTGTCAAGAAAGCCAGGTCCGGGCCTCCCCCGTGGCGCAGGGGTTAAACATAGAGCTTTCAAGCTACTGCCAACCACTACAGCCCCTGGCAGCCAGGGAGCAACACACATGGCACAGCACACCTCTCCTGCCTTGCTGGCCGCTCTCCTCAGCAGTGTATTTCAGTAGATCCACCTGTTCTGCTCCCCACTCTCTCTGGTGAATCCTCTAATCCCCCGCACCTCTGGCCTCTATCCCAGTTCTTGTATGCATAAATAAATAAATCTTAAAAAAAAAAAGAAAGCCATGGTGGCTCAAGCTTGGGAAACTCTAAGACCTGCTAGTCCTTAGGGCTAGGGTCTGGGAAGGGGTAGTTGCTAATAGGGAGGTGACATTTATCATCTGCAAGCCCTTGCTGGATTTCTCTTAGATATTGAAGACCTCATTCATTCTTTCATTTAGCACATACTTATTGAGCACTGATATATGTGCTAGGCATGCATCTTCTAGCTTGGATTCATCTGTTTAGTAACCAATCCATAGAAAAGCAGTGGGTTCAACAAAGTGTCAGTGGCCCAGTTTGTCAGGTACACCCCAAAGGGTGTTGTGCCCTTAGCAGGTGGCAACTTCTGGAGGTGGTGGATGAGAACGCATGGGTTTGGAGTGGTGGTGCACAACAGAGAGAAATAGTCATTGTTTCAGGCCTTTTAGATTTTGAATGATTTGCAGTAAAGTAGTGGGTTTTGATGAACTTCCCCTGCATTTTCCTTTCTTGTAACAATGCAGCGATAAGCTCTGTTCTTCCCTCTTCTGGTCTCCATATGACCGACCAACTTCTTCTTTATGTATGTTCACTGCATCCTGCTACACCACTTCTTTGAGCAGAAAGGAAACAAGTCACTTCTCTTTTTAACCAAAAGAGCATGCATCAGTAAGTACGTCTGTATGCCCAGTTGTGTGCAAAGATGCCTGAGCTCACTTTCATGATCTGTTGGGTACTAAATGTTTGAAATAATTTTTTACTTCTTATGTATTCATTCTAAATTTTTGATGAATTAAATTACCATATGAAGGAAATTAGATCACATGAAGGAAAAAGTGAAAGATAATGATGATTTTATTCTCGCTTTTTGGGTAATCTATCTGGAGAAGAAACATAAGAATATATTGAGGAAAAAAATTGAATTGCATTTTTTTCTTTAGAATCCAGCCAGTAACTTCCTCTCACATAAAGCTCCTGCAGTTTAGCAATGGTTCCCAGACCTGGCTGTGGGAAGGAATCACCTATGGCATTTGACACAAAAAACAGATGCTGGAGCTTTACCCCTGAGATATTCTAATTTACGGTATTTGGGATACATTAGAAAATTGGACTAAATTTTAGTGCCAAATTAAATGGGACATTTGTGTTTATCTTAAGTAGTTCCAGATAGCTTCTGTAATATAAGCACATCATTTTTGTATAGAAATAGTGTTTTTTTAAAGGTTCAATTTGTATAAAGTTTTATTTTTTATTGAGGTAATGTTGATTTAGATCACAGTGTCAGTCTTAGAGGTATAGGTTTACACCTCTGTAGGTGGGTGTTATTTCACCACACCCACCATCAAAGCTCCAGTAATCCTCCATTAGACACCCCGTCTCTTTGCTCCCAACCCATCACATCCCTGTTTTGGTAGCTTTAGTCATAGTCTGACATGCTCTCCACTCTCCTGTTTTTATCTCTCCCCCTCCCCCCTGAACTCTCCCCTGCTGGATGTCTCAGATCTGTGATCAGCTTTCAAGGTTTGTCTCTGACCTTTTGTTTGGTTTCTCTGCAGTTCACACATGAATGAAACCATCCAGAATTTATCTTTCTCCTTTTCACTTATTTTGCTTAGTATAATCCCTTCCAGCTCCATCCATGATGCCACAAATAGCTTGAGTTTATCTTTTTTGATAGCTGAATAGTATTCCACTGTGTACATATACACACTACATCTTCTTGATTCATTCATCTGTTTGGGGGCATTTGAATGGTTTTGGTATCTTGGCTGTTGGAAATAGTGCTGCAGTAAAAATAGGAGTGCAGGGTTCCTTTCAAATTAGTGTTTTTGGGGGCCTCCCTTGGTGGTGCAGTGGTTGAGCGCTGGGCTGCAAAGCTGCCCGCAGCCTCTGCAACACCAGTTCCATTCCCAGCCACTGGCAAGGGTCCCACATGGTGCGCAGACCTCTCCTGATGTGCCCGCTGCTCCCCACAGCAATGTATTTCGTCAGTCTGCTTGTTCTGTTCCCTGCTCTGGCTCTGTGAATTCTCTCACCCTCCCACGCTTCTGACTGTACCCAGCGCTTGTATAAATATATCTTAAAAAAATTAAAAAAAAACAACAAATTAGTGTTTTTTTGTGTTCTTTAGAGGGCCATCTGAAGGTTCCTCAAAACACTAGAAATGCATCTGCCACATGACCCAGCTATTTCCCTCTTAACAATCTGCTGACTTAATACAAAAACACTAACTTGATAGAATTATTCTTATTTGGTTAGATTTAAGTGTGACAAATTAAATCTGTTATTCTTTATTATGTCAATGACTGACAAAACAAAACTAAAACGAGGGAAACTTATGGTTAATGAACAATTTCCAAATGCTAATGGGCAATTTTCCCCTTTTCTTATGTAGGCCAACTGTTGATGCCTAGTGAAAAATTATCAGGTGCAATAATGTTCTGCAGTAAAAAGAGATCCCTTGGTAAGTACTAAATTCTTCAGATGACGCAAAGAAATACACTTTTTAATCATTTTATTTTACAGAGGTGTAATTTATATTCAAAAGTTATATCTCAACTTGGATAAGCTTAGGCAATTAATTGGATAACCTGTGTAAATACCACCCCCCAAATAAGATAAAGGAAGTTTCTACCATCCCAGAAAGTTCCCTTTTCCCTGTTTCATTCATACTCTCTGTAGTCCACAGAACAATCTTCCAATTTCTATCAGGTTAGTTTTGTTTGTTTTTAAAAATTAATATAAATGAAACCATTCAGCATCTGTCTTTGCTTTTTTGCTCAGCATGAAAATTTTTTTGTTTTTGTACATTTAATTTATTTATTGAGGGCCTCTGTGGTGGTGCAGTGCATTGAGTGTGCCCGGTGGAGCTGTCCACAGCCTCTGCAGCTCAGGTTCTATCCCCGGCTGGCTAGGAAGATATCCACATGGCGCGGCAGACCTCTCCAGTCTCACCCGCTGCTCCCCTCAGCAGTGTATTTCAGTCGGTCTGCTGGTTCTGCTTCTCACTCTGTCTCTGGTGAATCCTCTCACCCCCCACACCTCTGGCTTACACCCCAGCTCTTGTATGCACAAATAATCTTTAAAAAAATTTTTTTAAAATATTATTTATTGATGTAATGCTGGTTTACAGCATTGTTTATGATTTAGAGGTATAACAAAGTTTTTTTGATATGCATCCATATGGTTGAATATAGCAATAGTTCATTTTTTCTTTTTAAAATTTTTCATCAATTTTATTTATTTGCCAATAGTTTACATAAGTATGCAATTTTGGGAGTATAAGTTGACATCTCCAATATGTGCACAAGCTTCACTCACTGCCAAAGCGCTAGGCCCAATGTCCTATCAAATTCCCTCCCTTACTCACAACACTTTTCCCCACCCTATTCCCTCTCGTAAACATTATTTTTCATAGACTCTGCATAATTTGTGTTGTGTTTTGCTAGTTTGTTTTCTCTGGTTATTTGTATACCACAAATGAGTGAAACCATAGAGTAACTGTTGTTCACTTTCTGATTTGTTTCACTTAGCATAATCACCTCAAGATCCATCCATTTTATCTCAAAAGATACTAGTTCATCTTTTTAAATAGTTGAGTAGCATTCCATTGAGTATAAATTCCACAATTTCTTGATCTCCTTTTTCAGTTTGATATAGTCCCATTCATTTATTTTTGCCTTTATTTCCCTTGCCATTGGAGTTGTGCCTCCAAGAACATCTCGGTGGTTGATGTGCAGGAGTGTATCACCTAAGTTTTCCTTTATGTATTTTATGGTTTCAGGTCTTATATTCAAGTTTTAAATCCATTTTAAATTAATTTTGTGTAGGTAGTTAAGTAAGGTTCTAGTTTCTATTTTTTGCTTGTGGCTACCCAAATTTCCCAGTATCATTTTTCAAAGAGGCTTTCCTTTCTCCATTGCATGATTGTGGTTCTTTTGAAAAAGGAAAAAATGATAAAACTCATTCTAGACTTTTTAGACTGGCATTGGGAACTTGATAGTATTGACCCAGAGGGCATAATTAATGGCCTGTGGGTGGAAACCATACTGAGCTAGATTTTAGCTCATTGTGAGGTTGAGTGTTGCAATGAATAAGTGTCCAACAAGGGAGCAGACTGCACCATGAAATAATTACCCACTACAATAGGTTAACCACCTGTCAGAGATGTTATTAGGAGGAAGGAAAGGCATTAGATACACTCTAATGCAGCTTTTAGCCTTTAAATAAAGTCCATGGCCAAAAGCAAAGAAAATAGCAATAATAAGTCAAAAATTTATTTCTTGAAGGAAAAACTACATAATAAACTGACCTTGAATAACTAGAGAAAAGGAGCTCAGTACTCTCTGGTTTGGGTGCTTCTTAAAAAAAAAAGCACCTTGAATATTATTAATACTGTTCAGCTAGATCAGTTACTTGCCCTTCCACCCCCAAAGTATGCTTCCTGCCATCTTGAATCAAAATTATATAGTGCTCTACAAGAAAATTCTTTATTGTTGTACAAATACCACTTTGAGCAGTGCTATTACAGTAAAAAGAACTTGTGTACATTCTTTAACATGTACTAGGATGTTCATATAATTATCTACATAGGTTCTTTTCTTTTATGAGGTAACATTAGCTTACAACAGTGTCTATGATTTAGAGATATAGCATCACAACTTCTCAGATTCGTGTCACCACACCCATCACCAAGGCACATGGTTCTCCATCATAATCCATCGTTCCATTTGCATAATCCATAATCCATTACATTTTGATAACCATCTGTTCTTTTACCTTCAAGAATTTGTATATTTAGTTTCTTGTATCTTTAATTTTCTCTATTACTTGTTTGAATTCTCTGGTCCCTTCACTTTCTCTCTCCCCCTTTTGGTGTACTTGTTTCCTTATGTTTACTTTCCAAATGAAGTTAGATCTAGAAGTGTGCCTTCATTTTTTTTCTCCCTTCTTATGTCTTTCTTTTCCACCTGAGTCCTTTGTGCATTTTGATCTTCAAGGTCACTAATTCAGTCATCCATTTGGCCCAGCGTGCTTCCATGGCTTTCTCCATAATTTAAAAAATTTCCTCTATTGATCTTTTGGCATCCTCCAACACCCTTATTGTTTAAATATTTAGTTTCTAATTTCTAGTCATTAATTATATTCCTCATGCTATTTATCCCCTCCCCGTCATTTCTTTCTATTTCTTTGTCATGGCAATTATTCTCTGTCTTGTAGGAAGGTAAGATCTTCCACATATTTTGTGGTTCGGTTCTGGAGAATTGTTCCATCCTTGTGATGTCATATTGTCTTGAGGTCTCAACTTATCATGTATTGTGTTGTGGTTTTTTTTTTTTTTCCCTGTGCATTTTTCTGTTTTATATCCTCTCTTCAGGCACTCTAAACTCTCAGATAGTATCAAATTGAGAGGGTCAGGGGTAGTCCAAGAGAGTACACTGGGGTGAGGGAGGGTTCCAGCCCTTACTTCCTACACTGGCCACCAGCTAGCAGGATGCCCTTTGTCCACAGTCTGTGGTCACTGTGGTTACTCAGAGTTTCTGACTACACAGTCTGGGTGCCTGCACAGAGGCCTCTCAGTAGGGAGATGTAGGTTGCTTCTTTGCCTTTTGAAGCTCATCCAGGTACCCCCTGAAGATAAATCTATGGCTCCCAGCAATATCCCCCCCTGGGCCGGCAGTCTCCCACTATGCAGGGATGTGCAGGATCAGGGAAGCAAGTGCCAGAGATCATGGTAGTACCAGTTCTGTTCCTCTGCCAACTTCCCAAAAGGGGTACAAAAAACACACTCTCTAGGCTGTGTTGATGTTGATCGTGGTTATTTTCTGTTTCTATTTGTGCACTCTGTGCTCAGCCTGGAGGTCATGTGGGGCAAGTGGTGGGTGGAAAACCAGGTTTTCCAAAGTCTATTGTCCAGGAGGCCCTGGCAGTATGGCAATGAACAAAATGCCTGGAGCAAAAATCCTGGACTCTCCCACAGAGCAGGGATGCACAGGTGGGGAAACTATCACTAGAGATCATGCCAGTTCCAAGTCTACACTTCTGTGCCCAAAGTGGGCACGGAAAAGCCACTCGTCAGATTGTGTTCACTGTGGCTACTTGCAGTTCCTGACTGTGCTCTATGGGTGCAGGTTCAGAGGCTGTGGGGTGGGGGGGAAGGGTTGGTTGATTTTCCTGCCTCCCTATGACAGGCACAGACAACCTGGGAGCCCAGAGTTTGCCTCGGGGGTAGACAAGTGGTTCCTCCCAACACTGAAACTAGTCACTGGCTGCCTGGTTGTGCAAGTTGAGCAAGTTATGCTCTCTCTGAGGAGTATGCATTCTCCATCCAGGGCTGGAGCCTCAGGAGAACCCAGGGGCACTTGGTGAAGAAGGGCACTATCTCTTTAGGTAAACTGGCACCAATTCTGACATACCGTTTCGCTGTCTTTCCTACCTTTTCTAATGGTTTCTGTCTCTCTGTCTCTCCTTCTTGCTGAGACACCAGTCCTCATGTCCCCAGCTCTGCTCCAGTTGTGACTGTTTCCTCCCTAGGCTAAATATTTTGACCACATAGCTGGTTCTGTATTCCACTTGGCCACATGATTTGCTGGTCTGACTTTTTGTGTTACTATCATTTGTATCATTAGGATCAGCAATGAAGCATCTTTAGGTTATTTCAGTTCCTAAAGATCTGGTTAGAGGCTAGAAAGCTTTTTGTTTTAATTTCAATTAATTAATTAAATAATGAATTTTTAAAGATTTATTTATTTATACAAGCACTGGGTACAGTCAGAAGTGTGGGAGGGTGAGAGAATTCACCAGAGCCAGAGCGGGGAGCAGAGCAAGCAGAAGGACCAAAGTACATTGCTGAGGTCTGCGCACCATGTGGGACCCTCCTCCTGTGGCCGGGGAGCAGCCTGGGATCGAACCGGCGCTGTAGAGGCTGCGGGCAGCTTCGCAACCCAGCGCTCAACCACTGCGCCACCGGGGAGGCCCTTAATTTATCTTTTTTATTTCCTTGCAGTGTTGTAGTCCCCATAGTTCTCCTACCACCATATCACCGGTAAACCATCACCATTATTCCCTTGTGTTCTCCCCTCCCCTGTTTTAACTCTTCCCCTTCCCTTGCTATTTGCCTCAGATCTATGATTAGCTTGTTAGTTTTATCTTTTTCTTGACCTTTTGTTTGGTTTTTCTATATTCTACATAAAAATGACACCACCCAATATTTAACTTTTTCCTTCTGACCTATTTCGCTTAGCATAATCCCTTCCAACTCCATCCATGTTGCCACAAATGGCATGAGTTTGTCTTTTTTTTGATTGCTGAGTAGTATTTCATCGTGTATATATACCATGGCTTTTTGATCCATTAATCTATTTTGGAGCATTTGGGTTGTGGAATGAATATTTTTTGATCCTAAAATATCAAAAAATGAATAGTTTTTGATCCTAAAATAACAGAAAATGAATATTTTTTGAT